GTGAACACGTTTGAACAGAATGAAGATGTGTACATTTTTCTTATTTTGCCTAAATATATTTTTTTCATTTAGTACTGCCCTTCAGAAGCTACAGAAGATACTTACATGTTTCCCAGAAGACAAAATAAGTTAAATTTACCCTGATCTTCAAATTCATAAAGTTTTCACCCCTCTGCTCTTAATGCATGGGTTTTCCTTCTGGAGCATCAGTGAGCGTTTGAACCTTCTGTAATAGTTGCATATGAGTCCCTCAGTTGCCCTCAGTGTGAAAAGATGGATCTCAAAATCATATAGTCATTGTTGGAAAGGGTTCAAATATACAAAAGTGCTGGAAAATCAAAGAATTTGTGGGACCTGAAGGATTTTTCTGAAGAACAGCAGGCAGTTTAACTGTTCAGAACAAACAAGGGACTCATGACTATCAGCTCATGACAGCTATCACTAAACAAAAAACACAGCTGTGGATCATTCAGGTAACAACACAGTATTAAGAATCAAGTGTATGTAAACTTTTGAATGGGGTCATTTGTATAAATTCAACAATCATTTTTTTCTTGTGGACTATGTAGCGAATCAGCTCATTGGGAAATATGAATAATTAATCATGGTAGGATTGCATATAGGTAAGATGACAGGAACGAGTGGTTCCATCATAAGCCTGCATAAAACAGTATAAAATATCAAAGACAACATACACAATGACCTGAAGGATATGTGTGTTCATTCAAAGAAAGGTTTTCCTATGAATTAATTAGGGAAGAGTCCATTTCTACTGTGCATTGTGTCTCTTCCTATGGAAAAGGTAGTGATTTTCTCTACATTCATTCCTTTGGGCCATAAAACCAGTGATATCAGCATTGGTTGCCATGGGGACCAGGGGGGGCCTGGTGTCGTTCGCAGACATCCTGGCACCCAGTTTATTGGGTGAGGGGTCTGTGACGATTTGTTAATCTAATGAATAACTAATTTGTTAAATCAAATACAAAATTGTGTGTTTGATTGGTCCAGACGCTACAAAATCCCAGACAAAAATAGACAACAACGAGCGATGTCAAAGGTGCAGAACAATCAAAATAATTGAAGACAAAATGTGTTTTACTGAGAAAAAACAAGATTTGTTTTTTAAAAAGCCTTTTTCCAAAAGGTATATCTGGAAAAAGGGGGGTCGTCTTATAATCAGGGTCGTATATATTCGGGCCAATACGGTAATTTGTTAAATCAAATGCAAAATTGTGTGTTTGATTGGTCCAGACGCTACAACTATATGTAAACATCTCTTGTGGACTATATGTAAACATATGTGAAATATCTTATTCAGGTCAGTACTAAATAAACAATAACATGCATTTTGTATGATCCCTCTTATTTTGGTAAAATAATTAACATTTTGCAGATTTTGCAAGGTGTATGTAAAATTTTGACTTCAACTGTAAATCTTTATGTTTATTCAAATTTGAAGGAACATATTTGTAAAAATACATATGAATATTTTCAGACAGAGTGGGACCACAGGCTGTGTTTAAGACTCAGAGACTAAGAGACTAACAAAAATCTAAAACCTTTCACCATGTCTAAATATACAGGAGCATCTCAATAAATTAAAATGTCGTGGAAAAGTTAATTTATTTCAGTAATTCAACTCAAATTGTGAAACTCGTGTATTAAATAAATTCAATGCACACAGACTGAAGTAGTTTAAGTCTTTGGTTCTTTTACATGTGATGATTTTGGCTCACATTTAACAAAAACCAACCAATTCACTATCTCAACAAATTAGAATAGACATGCAAATCAATTAATCAACTCAATACACCTACAAAGGTTTGCTGAGCCTTCAAAATGGTCTCTCAGTTTGGTTCACTAGGCTACACAATCATGGGGAAGACTGCTGATCTGACAGTTGTCCAGAAGACAATCATTGACACCCTTCACAAGGAGGGTAAGCCACAAACATTCATTAGCTAGGCCTGTCGCAATAATCAATATATCGACTTATCGCGCAATATATGTACATGACCTCAATCATTTTTGGTGACGCAATATATCGCCCATTATATTTATTTAAAAATTAATGTCACCATGTTTTGTACATTCCACTTGTGCCTGTGTCTTTTGCAGCTTCTCGTACATAACGTGGTGTAGTCATGAGGTGCTAGTTCAAATTTAAAAAATGCTTCTACAAAAAAAGTTTAATCTGCAGATATGGTTTTGTTTAGGGATCTGTGCCTTTGTGCATGCGGACATCTGACTGCTGAGTAGTGATTGTGTTTTTCAGCAATAGTGTGCACCCTTAATTTACAGAGAAAAGAAGGTCCGGGAAAAATCTGTTGATGGAAAAATCTCCATAAAAGTTCTTCGTGCATTTTTCTTTTTTTCTACTTGTTACTTTGCACTTTTGTTAGAAATGTTTATTTACTATTTATTCAAGTTTTTTAAGGTATCTAATATTTTGATACTTAATTTCCATGATCTAAATATTCTTAAAAATTAAAAGTTTGTTGTCATTTGGAAGTGTGTAGGCCTTCTTGCATTATTATGCTGTTACTTTATATTCAGTGGCATAAAATGGTCTTTAAAATGACAATAATATCGCTTATCGCAATTATTTCTGGGGCAATATATCGCACAACAAAAAGTTGTTATTGTGACAGGCCTAGCACCTGTATATCTAAACGCAAAACCCAATAGGCTAATTACGTCTGAAAATGCTTTTCTCAGCAACTAGCAATTGATTCAGTCATCTGTTAAGACACCATGAGTTAGAGAATGATTAAAAAATAGGGCATTTTTTTATATTCAGTGAAGAAAAGTTTAGGATTAGTTGGAAAAGTGCATGATATCCTAGGGTAGACTATCCATAGAAGTGTTGTATGATTGCTGCTTAATGTATCTGGAACACTGCAATCAGGTTGTGTAGACTAAACATTAAAATCTGCCTGCACAACAGAACGAACTAATGATTTTAAAGCATTCTTTAAAATCTTGGATTAAGTCAATTTCTACATATACCATTTTTTTATTTTACAGGTAGGAAGTAAATACTCCTATGAATGAATGAATTCTATAAATTCAGAATACAATCATTAATCAAAATTGGATTGAATCTCATAGTAAACTGTTCTGAATTCACAAAAAATCGTTCCTGAATTGAATTGAAAACCTATTAAACATAAATAAAATCTGTTGTCTGTCTACCCACAGTCACACCAATACATCTGATTAATTTGCCCATATAAGTAAATAACTGGAAGAATAACAAAAAAGGTAAAACTAGCTATTTGCACTACAAAGACAAGCAACAAAAATAGAGATTTCTTTGTCTACTCAAAACTAGCCCATAAGAATGAGAAAAAAATATTCTGAAATATCAGAATTGTTCAGTAAAGAACCACACATACCTTCTTTATAATCTGAGTCAATTTGTTTTTTGATGTCTCCCTTCCATTTGGTTAGTTTGCTGGACGTGACAAAAAAGGTGAACAAAGCTCCAAAAAAGCTCATGTTGGCCATAGTAAGAACAAAGCCAACCAGCATCGCTGCAAAGAGATGAAGATTTGTTAATTGGCAATTTATTAATCTAGTCACATCATGATCAGTAATCCAGCCACAGCAAGAACAAGATGCTCTGTTATTATTATACAATATATTATGTAATAGTAATATATTTCTGTCTTAAAATATTCAAATGACAACAGGCAAACATTTTTGTCATTGTCAAAATTATAGCTGCAAGCAGCAATTCACAAGGTTCAAAAGCTTTAAGCCATTTTTGCAAAAAGATGTATTATGTTTCTTTTATAAATAAGCATTTTTTACATTATTGTCTTAGTACAGACAGAGAATTGTATGATGCATTTTTGTTGAGGTTTTCATTCACAAAAGTATTTTTAAAAATATTTTCAAATATTATCCAACAATTTGACTTACTACAATGTTTCTTGAGGCAAACTGGTTCAGAATGTAATGCTGTGTTTTTAATTATTTATTTATCTCCAAAGAATCTTATTGTATATGTAATAATCATGACAGGCCTACTAATTCCTCAATGCCAAAGGTTGCATGCTGGCAGAGGAAGAACGACTATACTATAGACCTCATAATTACTGCTGCATGTGGATTTGACTGAGGAGAAAGGAGAGATAGTATTAAATTATATTATTATAAAGCAATCTCAGAGCAGTTCCTATACAGGTGCATCTCAATAAATTAGAATGTCGTGGAAAAGTTCATTTATTTCAGTAATTCAACTCAAATTGTGAAACTCATGTATTAAATAAATTCAATGCACACAGACTGAAGTAGTTTAAGTCTTTGGTTCTTTTAATTGTGATGATTTTGGCTCACATTTAACAAAAACCCACCAACTCACTATCTCAACAAATTAGAATACTCCATAAGACCAATAAAAAAAA